TTCAAAGCATATATGAGTTGATGTATGTTCTCTGAGGTCCTACCTGCAAGGCTGGCTGCTTGGAATTGTGGGAGTTGAAGTCCAAAATACCCAGAGGGCCAAAGTTTGCCCAGGCCTGTGCTAGCAACATCTGGTTTCTCCCCCATATTGACTTACAATCTTACAAACATATTATGTAGCAGCAGTAATGTGTAAAGCACAGGAGTGCACTGAGATTTGAAGAGAGATATTGCAAACAGACATGTGTGTAACTGCTTAGCAATACACAGAAAATTACAATGAAGATCTTTAGGGATGTAAATACCAGTGACTAACCTTTAAATGTCAACTTTTTCTTCACACACTTTTTTTATGCATGCACCAAATTGTGTCCTGTAACAGTACAACAATGTATTCATCCCATATACAGACAAAGAAGCCTGAATGCATTTGCTGTTCTAAAAAACAGTGATCTCATCTTCGTCTTGGGGTTCCTCCCATGCTGCTTGCAGCTCAACCTGATATTTTTCTGAAATAGGCTCTGTCTTCTTCCCACTTCATTATGAAACAGGCCTGCAGCTTTTCTAAAAAGAGGCCATCAATACTAAGCACACCTGTCAGCTATTTCATGGAGCATATCTTGAGAAGTATTACATCAGCTACGGCCATCTAACAATACAGTCGGCACTGCACAGGTAACTGCTGTTACTATGGAATAAGCAGATAAATACTACTACCAACCACATATTTTTTAAACAGAAACAGAAATTGTTTCTGCACAACACAGAGAGGAAACAAACAAGGACATCTAATCACCTTTCAACAAAAGTTTGCTCTAGGCACTGTCAAGCCATTATATGCTAATCAAGGTGGTCAGTTGAAACATTCATACCTAGCTCCAGCAGACAAGAGTCCTTTGTCTCACCCTGGTCATTCCACAGATATATAAACCCCTTTTTCCTAGTTCCAACAGATCTCACTACCTCTGAGGATGCTTGCCATAGATGCAGGCAAAACATCAGGAGAGAATGCCTCTAGACCATGGCCATATAGCCCGAAAAAACCTACAACAACCCAGTGATTCTGGCCATGAAAGCCTTCGACAATACAGAAATTGTTTATTTAATAGGAAGACTACAATAGTATCATACAAGCTATTCAGAAAATATATAAATATATATTTCAGGAAAATGATCCTATTCAGTTTAATAGATCCATGTAATAGCTAACCAAAACACATGTGCTATTTCACATATGAAAACTAAAGCACCAAGTTTGGTTCGTGGTACAAAAATGGCATCTTGTTCTCTTTGTGTGTTGTATAACAATTTCACCATAAAGGGAACCCCTGCTTGCACAAATCCCTTGCTCTCAGCTCATACAATCCAGAATATATCTGCAATAATTGTCACACATACGTAATATTTGTTTTTGAGGCTGCACCTACTTTTCATGTAAAGTTACATATAAAGTGATCCGCAAAATATATTTGATGGATATAAAGCAAAACAGTGCTGTTATGCCAAGGAGGCCCTGGTGGTGCAACGGGTTAAACCTTTGTGCCAGCATTAATAGAACATGTAAGCCACATGTCAATGCAATGCTTAACTTATTACCTTTAGAACAACCTCATGAATAGGTACCACTCCATCTATTCATATAAGGAGCCCCCATGGTGCAATGGGTTAAACCCTGTGCCAGCAGTTTGAATCTGGGGAGCAGAGTGAGCTCCCATCGATCAGCACCAGCTTCTCATGCGGGAACATGAGAGAAGTCCCCCATAAGATGGTAAAATATCCGGTTGTTCCCTGGGCAACGTCCTTGCAGGTGGTCAATTCTCTCACACCAGAAGCGACTTGCAGTTTCTGAAGTTGCTCCTAGCATGAAAAAAATGCCCAAGTTTTGGATATTTCTCTTTAAAACCGTTCTAGTAAAATAACAACCTGTTTCTGAATATTGATATTGTTTTTTAAATGAAGACTTAAATATGATTGGGATGTATGCCCAAATTCAGTCATTTGTCCAAAGTTCTAGCCTTGTGAGAACACCACTAAATGGCTATTGAAAGTAACCTTCCATTTTTCCACAGATAGCAAAATCATCCCATTTTGAACAACATATCATCATAGCAAACAAAAAGTGACATATCTCTAGTCTGGCAGGTATCCTCACTGCCAACTGGCAGCATGCTACTTCAGCTAGTGAAGCAATATATTAGAAAATGCCCCCAGTTCAATAATGTCGGTTTGCAGTACATCTCATAAAGCACTACAGTTAGGTACATTACCACTTCTGACAGCTACAGCTGCTACGCTTCTACTTCCTGTATCCAAAAGACAGTAACGCCTGCCTAGAAATTGCTTTTCTCTATGTCTGTTCATGGTAGCACTGGATTTGTGTCAATTTAGAGCTTCCAGGCTTCAAGGTCTTCAGGGACATGAGGGGAAACCATCACCTGATTTCTGGACAGCCTGATCCAGAGTTATAAGAACATAAACCCCTTCTCTAGAGAACACTGGTTCTTACTCAGATATCATTGAAAAACTACAAGCACAGGGAACATGCTAGCTCTATTCCATCTGCATATGTTACCTTCTCTCTCTTCACATGGGGTGTGACTTCCTATCCATTGAGGCTTTTCACAAAAACTAGTATACTGGGAAATATTCACTTGGAGAACCTTCTGTATTATTAAAAAAGGTCAAAAAGTTGCTATCTCCAGGCCATCTACACAGGCCACACATCTCGAAGAGGATAAGAAACCGCTCCATGGGGTTTATATGACACATGGGCCATATAATCTCCAAGGCAATATAAAGACACTTAACATAGGTTTGACCTTTGTTAGGTAAAGTTGGGGAATACTCCAAAGCTTCAGCTCTGCACTTCAGGGTGTGTAAACAGCTCAACCAGCCTTGCTGTTCACATGGGTCAATACAGCTATCCCACTTTCCCTGCACTTATGACATGGTTAAAATGGGATGGCACTTACCTTTGTCATTTTTCATCACTAAAGAAGCAGCCACAGAGGTACAGAGCTCTCTTGGCTGCTGCTTCACACATTTGCCAATATTAGCAAAGGTGCTTGCGTCACTTGGATGGGGGAGAGGGATCACCCCTCCTTCCCCTTTTCCGCTTATGAATGTCATGAATCAATGGGTTTGACTTCCCTCAATCCCAAGTAGTCAGAGATAACAGGCTTCTAGAATGTAGTCCAAAAGCATACATACAAGATACTCACATTTCTCATGGGCGTAAATAGACTAACTTTTGAATATGCCCAATTTTATCAAACACTAAAATATCAAACACTAAAATTAGAAATTTCACATATACAGGCAGTTCCTGAGTTATAAACATCAGACTTACAAATGACTCATAATTGAAAATGGGGGTGAGACAACAGAAAGTGAGAGAAATCTAAACTTAGGAAGGGGCTTTCAATCCTGAAAGAGTGATCATGGGGAAAAGGTGTTTCACCAATCCTTCTTTCCACAACAAGCCAAATTGTTCAAAATCTAATGATCACAGGTACAGAAAGTGAGGGGAAATCTTCTGAACAGGGGCACAGACAGCAAAACTAAACACCACAGGGATGTTAATCCTTCCCTATATTATCCAAAGCATGTGTATATATCTCAGAATAGCCCAATGGTGAGGCTTGATGGTTCAAATATATCCAAGAGCCACTCTGCACTAATCCTTCCTGGAAAGTGGCTGAATGTGTTTGTGGGATAGAGAAGAAAGAATTTGGAGGGACAAATAGCTACAAAACTCAAGTTTCAGCTTGAGGATAAAAGAATGAAGGTATCACACATTATAACTCCTTCAAACTCTTGGACAGAGCCAAATACCTTTTTGATTTATTGTTGAAGGCATTCATGGCTGAAATCACTGGGTTGTTGTAGGTTTTTTGGACTGTATGCCCATGTTCTAGAAGCATTCTCTCCTGATGTTCCACCTGCATCTGTGACAGGCATCTTCAGGTTATGAGGACCTCACAACCTCTGAGGATGCCTGCCACAGGTGCAGGTGAAACGTCAGGAGAGAATGCTTCTAGAACATGACCATACAGCCCGAAAAACTTACAACAACCCAACCTTTTTGGTTTTCATACTAAGACTTACCTTACTTAACCAAGTTAGTCATGCTTCTTCTCCATCACTACTGTCCCTTCGGTAGCATCCTCTGGAAGTGGAGGGATGGTTACCTGTGGCAGTAGCTTGTATTGGAATTTTGAATAAGCACCTAAAGGTGAGTTTCTTGGTGAAACTTCTTGATCTTCTGGATGCTTCTCCAGCAAACCGCTTTTCCTACACAAAGACTGACGAAAGCCATGGACTGTGTCTGAGCAAATGGAACTGAGGAGTGGTAAAAATGTGGGTCTGCAGATGTTTGCCATGGTAGTGGAATTCTGAATGCCAAGTTCAAATCGAAAATCTCTGATATAAGATAGGGCTTGATTATTCAATTGGGCATATTCAAAAGTTAGTTTATTTTTTGCAACTGGACCCATGTAGTCTAGGATAGTCATCTTTTTCTGATCATCAATGCAAATAAGATCTTCCTTATTGTTCGTGAGATATGGAGCACTACTCCCAAAAGTTGTCTTAATATTACATTGATTTGAATAATCATCAAAAGGAGGTATACAGCTACATTCATTTTGCAAGCTTAGTTGGTTTTTTAATTGATTCCTTGTATCAGTATTATTGCTCAGTGCATTTCCAATGTCTTTATCATCCAAGTGCTTATTTTCAGCATCATAACTGATCTTTAATGAAGCAACCTGAGTGGCACAATGTTCCAAAAGCTGCACCATGTTACTCTCATCCTCCTTTGGTGTCTGTTTGATGTAGCTTTGAGAATGACTGAGATTCAGTGGCTCTATTGGCTTGTCACCTTCTGCTGCCGATGCTTGATCTTTTGTCTCACATTCATCTCCAGTTTCTAGAGAATCAGGAGAAGTTGCAGCAGTCATGTAAGAAGAACATGACTCGGCATCATGGTTATCAATTGCCAAAGAGTTCTCATCAGTTTGGCCAATTGTCTCCAGATTGAGGACTTCAAATGATAGAGTTTCAGTGTTGGGTTCTGTGCACTCTCCTAAGAGAGATATCTTCTCCATTTCAGATGAATTCATGAGGTCATCCCAACTCCCCTCTGATCTTTGCATGTCACACCACGTGCTGTTGTCTGTTATGAGAGGAGACATTGCACTCAGAGTTCCTTCCCTTTCTTGAGAACTTTCTTGAGGTGAGTCACATGTAAGACTATCACTTTGCCTTTGTTCAGTTCTGTCTATTGAATATGAATGTGTTCCATTTTTGAGGAAATCTGAAGATCCATCTGGATCAGTTTTATTGTCCTCTAGAGTTGCTCTGTACTTGTTCTTGTCTGTTAACATTGGTTCACCAACTGGCTCTAACGGTGACTGAGGATTCTTAGGAAGATCTTGGGGGGAAATCAGACCTGGGTTTTTTCGTAGCCAGTTGATGATCCCCATGGTCAGGGAGAGCTCTGTATCACACAGTTTGAGTAGGCATTCTTTGCCTTTCCATGTGCTGTGAAGGAAACCTTGGCTGATTATATCAACAGCTGGTTGGGAAGCCATATTTTCTTCTGACCCTACATGAAAGCTATAAATAGACAACGGTATTTCATTGGCCTTTTCTGAAATGCTTTCAGACATACAGAGGTCATCGTCTAGCCCTGGGCTGATCTGAGCTTCACTGGGGTCACAGAATAGTTCATACAGAGCATCTCCACTATAGCTGTCTCTTGGAAACCGACCTGGTACTCCAGGTGATTGATCATCCTTGAGTTCCTCATCTTGCCCAGGAGAAAATGAATCATAGTATCCTTCATCACTAGTGGACATGGATTCCTGGTTGTCACTCTTTGGGGTCCCAGTGTCTATGGAGCTCTCTTTGGAAGAGTCAGGAGAAGACAACAAGTCTGTCACTAAGGCGCTGGTCTCATTTCTAGCCATTCCTACTTCACTATTAGGTATTTTCAATAGCCTTCTATCAAACAATGTTTTCTGATGCAGTTGCACTGATTTGTTGATATTATCCCAAAGTTTTGCAAAATCAGCTGCTTCATTTTGGGCTGGAGATGCAAGCTGTTCCACTCCACCTTGAAAGGATCCCATGGCAGGGTTCCCCTTCTGTTGTGATTGCCTTAGTGAGATTTCTTTGCTGATCTCCAGTTCCATGTGAGCAGAGCTCTCATCTGCAAAGATCTCTCCGCATCCAGTGAGGGAATCAAAGCTCTTCAGAGAAGCAACATCTTCACAAAGAGCACTGGAATACTCATAGGAGGACTCTGACAGAAATTCGCCATCAGAAAAGTCTTGTGCCAAACAGTCAGCAGTAAAGGTATCTCCAGCTTTAAAGAAATATTTACCAAATCTGCCTGCTAATTCTGACCTGCACCCTGGAAATGGAAGTCTTTTTTGCTTTTCTGACAACAAAGCAAGATTCTCAGGCTTGTTTTTCTTAATATGAAAAATGTCCCGGAGACCTTTCTTGGATCGCTTTAGAGAAATCCTCTTCCTGGGGATACTTTTGGCCACAGCTGGCACAAAGGGCATCTGTGGTACAAAGTTGCGGTAATCAATCATCTGCTGTGGACTGTTCAAGAAATGGCTTGAGCTGACTACGGAGTCTTTTTTGGTGTGAGAATTCTGTGTATTCCCAAGCCCGGAGAAGCTAGCACTGTTGACGAGTCGTCCTTTAGTTCGTCCAGGTGCTACAACACCCTCTTCAGAGATTTTGGTATTATAGCTACATTGTTCAGACTTGTCTACAGTGCCTAGAGCACAGTCATGGGTTTTACTTTTCCGTACAGGTTTGTAGAAGGATTCTTGGAGCAACAAGATGCTCTCGCTTGAGCCAGTTTTTGCTGACCTGTTTGAAATACTATCACTTTTATCTGTAGAGAAACTTGATTTTGCAGTTTCAATATAGGGAAGGTTTCTTTCTTTGATGTCCTTTCCTGCATTGTCTTTGTCTCTAGGACTCAAGCCCACTAAAGGTAATTTCTCATGGGTCAGTTGCATGCTGGATTTTATGAAGGTTTTCCCTCTTTTGAACTCCATGCTGTCTGGTCACAAGTGGTGCTGCAATCAAAATAACAAAAAAATTAAAACTGTTTACAGAATCCATGTAAGAGAGAGAAACCATACAATTAATAATAAGAAACCCTTCTACACGACAGCATTGAAACTTGATCATACCAAATTTGCTCTAATCAGGAAACAAAAAGCTGAAGTTTGCAATGACCTCTGAACCAAAACAAAGACCTCTGGATTCACACGGCTTTTGCCATTACACTTCAAATGACAATTTTCACATCACCACTGGAGAACAATGTTCCCCATATTTTTCTTGCCCAGTTATAATGTTCATAGTTGATTGGCAGGAATTGGAAACTCTGATATGTACCCTTGGTAGAGCTTTCATAGAATCATAGAATCAAAGAGTTGGAAGAGACCTCATGGGCCATCCAGTCCAACCCCCTGCCTAGAAGCAGGAATATTGCATTTAAATCACCCCTGACAGATGGCCATCCAGCCTCTGTTTAAAAGCTTCCAAGAAGGAGACTCCACCACACTCCAGGGCAGAGAGTTCCACTACTGAACGGCTCTCACAGTCAGGAAGTTCTTCCTCATGTTCAGATGGATTCTCCCTTCTTGTAGTTTGAAGCCATTGTTCTGCGGCCTAGTCTCCAGGGAAGCAGAAAACAAGCTTGCTCCTTCCTCCCTGTGACTTCCTCTCACATATTTATACATGGCTATCATATCTCCTCTCAGCCTTCTCTTCTTCAGGCTAAACATGCCCAGCTCCTTAAGCTGCTCCTCATAGGGCTTGTTCTCCAGACCCTTGATCATTTTAGTCACCCTCCTCTGGACACATTCCAGCTTGGAATGTTTAACACCTTGAAGGAACAAACAAATGAATTGCATGTAAGTCATACAGTTTCTTTATAGAAACTGTTGGTTCTAGAGTTAGAGCCAATCTACTCTGACCATGTTGAGTACTCCAGATCAGTGCCAGGGGACTCAATGCAACCAGACAGAGAAAAGATAATAAAATGGACTTATATTTAGCCATGCTTATAGTAATTCAAATGAGGAAATCAGCCATGATAATGTAAGTCCCATTAATTTCAATGTACTGTATACACTTAAATCCTTAGAGTTTTTTTCCCATTTATAATAGCAAGTGCATTAAGCTTCTCTGGCATGTATACTTCTCCTTTATAAATGGATAGCTTCTTTGCTAAACAATAATGATGCTTATCTTTAGTCTCATACTAATTCAGCATCTTTCAGCAAGGAAGAACTCTCACATAAATAAAATAAATGAGACTACCTGTACAATTACCATTGGCAATGTAACAATATTAATAACAACAAAAACAACAATATTTTTGACACAGTAGTTATTCCAGTTTTACTTTTCACTGGCCTGATGAATGTTGCATCATCTGTTCTAGGGAAACCGGACACACTACACAATGGAAGACATTTTGAAAACAAAGCTGAGTTCAAAAATGTCAGTTGTTATCTTGCAGTTTGTCTAATTGTCCACCATGCCAAATTTTTGAGTAAAAGATACCAGCAACCACATAAAAACAGTAATTATGTGATAGTAATCATGCTGTTTATTTATAATATCAAAATAAATGAGGGAAAGCAAAAAAGAAATAGTTTAACACCTTGAAGGAACAAACAAATGAATTGCATGTAAGTCATACAGCAGTGTCTTGCTTATCCAACCTTTGCACATCCAATGTTCTGTATTATCCAATGCAATCTGCCTCCCACCCAGATCTACAGCTGTTTCAATACATTCCGATATTTTGGTGCTAAATTCATAAATAAAGTAATTACTACATAACTTTACTGTGTACTGAACTGCTTTTTCTGTTGATTTGTTGTAAAAAAATGATGTTTTGGTGCTTAATTTGTAAATTTATAACGTAAATTGACATTTATTAGACTTTTCCTTATCCTTCCTTATTATTCAACATTTTCACTTATCCAATGTTCCGCCGGCCTGTTTATGTTAGATACTGTAGTTGCTTCTTATACTGTAGTTGCTTCTTATATGCTCCTGACTATTTATAAATCTCTTAATTAAATGATCCTCTGAGAACCTCGATAAGATTTTGACACTGACAATATGTGTTCTTATATGTATATTTTCAGTTTGATTTGTCATTTTTACATGTATAGGTATAAAGACTTATTTTCCATAATTAGAATAGTCAAGAATTTTAATGACTAATGATAAAAAGATGTGCCATTCAAATGCTTAACTGGCTACAGCCTCATCTCAAATTGCCCATTGGTCATTGTCGCCATTTAATTAAAATACCTAATCACTGTCTTTTATATTGTATGCTTTTGACACACTTCATTAGATACTTTATCATGTCTTTTTTTCTAAGTATAAATAAATGTTCATAGTTTTAGACATTTTGACTGTTGTATTTGTTTGTATATTTTTAAAAGAAAAGGACTAGGTATTCATACGAAGTCACATTGTGGAAAAACACATATAGATGTAGTTTTTTTTCTATTTTATTTGATTTGCCTTTATATGAGGAATGGGTTTTCAGAACACTTCTTTGTGCTATTCCGTTTAATAATTGTACTCATTGGTATTAAGGCATATGGCCAATATGTGGATTTATTCCAGTTCTATCTCTTCAGAGCAGGCTGCACAAATGCTTTTCAATAACTACTCATCTTCTCACTGATTAAATTGAATGCTCTAATAATAGCCTCTCAGTTCCCATTTTGAAAGAATCAGTGGATAAAAGGGTAACACAAAGGAGACATGTCATACAGGAGTGTAGTATAGGGTTGTGTCTGCTTTCTAAATAGACCCAAGCAACACAGGGCCCCGTACTTAAAAATGCCCCATTTACTTGCACTATTATTTTCTTTTTGTTTCAGAAGCGTCTTGGGAAAAATAGCTTTCTGATTTGAATATCATTTTAGGTCAGTCCCACCCTGATTTCTAACATGAGTAGGCTAAAAATATGTCTTTCTATCTGATTACTTTAGGGATTTATGCTGTGGAGAAGGAATGGAAACTTACCCACTTAAGTTTTTAATACTTGCAAAATATTAAGTGTATTTTCACATAGACCTGCCTTACATTTAATAACAGATGAAGGAAAATTCCAAATGTCAAACTACCCAACGTCAACTATTTGGCCAAATACGGGTTGACACATAGCTGGAAAAGGCCTTCACTTTGTCCTCCAGTTTCATCAGTGTGGATGAATACACCCAGCAATAATGAACCTATTCATATTCCTTCTTTTCTGTGCGGTATTATGCAGCACACATCCACAGTTTTTAAGGATCAGCACAACGGATAGCTCCTGGTCTCATTCCCTGTGACCAGCCGACTGAAGACGCGTTGCAGTAATTACTCTTTTCTGGCTAATCAATATGGAAAGCAACGATTGGGGGGAAATGCTCACAGGAATGCAGGAGAGAGACCTGTTTTCCTCACAGCAAGATTTCTTTTGTGGCAAAATCCCGCAGCATGCTTTGCACAGGTCTCCCACCTCTACTTTCCTGCCCCACACCTGAAGCTGAAAGGTTTGTTTATTTTCTTTTGTCCACACATTAAAGACAAGACATCAGGCTCACCAGTCATTAGCCTGTTTCCATTGGGAAAAGAGTTGCAGAAAGAGGGAGGAGGGAGAATATTTGCAGTATACCTGAGAAGAAATCGGCATTTCATTACTACCTTGACCAATCTTCTAAATCAGCCTGCAAAGCTTTTGCCCTGCCAGATCTCATCACCTTGCTGTTCAATGCCCACACAGTGAATGAACATGTGCATGAAGGGTAACTGACATATAAAACAGGAGACATGAAAAATGCTCAAAATAACCAAGGACACACTGGCATTGGGACAAAGAAAAACAAACACACCACACCCTTGCACCAAAACCAGGGTACATGCCAAGACATCAAAGTATCTTTTAATTGCCATATCTTACCATGTCAATAGCCAGAAATCTTCAGCCTTATATTCTTGTTGCCGGGGCTGCGATGCTGAGGGTCTTTATGCAGAAGCTTGCATAAAAGCATTTGAGACTCTGGACTGATTTCTTCTCTTTGCAGCTTTGCTCCTCCTCCCTCTCCCCCTCCCTTTTCTTTCTCCTTTCCTCCTCCTCTTCTCCAACCTTTCAGTTTTCCAGGTATTAGATGTCATTCCCTGCACTGACTTCAAATGTTCACATGTAACCAATTTTAGAACAGGGGGGCTTGTTCCTGTTACCTGCTTAGTAGCTGGAAAACACCGACTGCAAGGATTGATCCTAAAGCATATATGAGTCTTAGCAAATAACTGGGTTTGAAATAATAATAATAATAATAATAATAATAATACCAACTTCCACTCTATCTCCCTGAGAGGACTCAGGGTGGATTCCAATGAAAAAAAGGCAAACATTAAATGCCTGATAAAAAATTTAAATGCAATATCGGCCATCCAAGACCCAACATAGAGCAACACATACCAAAATATACTCGCATATATCAAATTAAACCCATATATATACCAAATTATAACATACAACCAGGCATGTAGCCGGGGGGGGGGGGGGGGCTTCAGCCCCCCCCCCCGAAATTCTCATGGTGGTTCGCGAGAAGGCCTTACTGGTACATTATTTAAACTGTTATGTTTATTCATATCATGATCTGATCACCATACTCAATATATCCCATATGCATGGGGGTATTGGGGTAATGATACAAAAGGTTTGCTAGGCTAGACCCTCTTTCACTCAGACTCAGCCCCCCCCCGAAACTCAGCCCCCCCGAAACCCCCCTGAAAAAAATTCACCCCCCCCCCCCCCCCGAAACGAAATCCTGGCTACGGGCCTGCATACAACCTAAAGTTAATTAAATTATATCTAGTGTAATATAATTTAAGAAACCCCCAATGTATTGAGGATGTGTCTTTTAAATCCTTAAACTCCAAATGTACTTGGACAGGAAGACAGTCTGTGATGCAGGTGGCTGTTGCAAGCAAACCATGCACCTGAAGACTCCCAAAGGTGACCCCAGCCCTGAAGCGGACCCTTGCAATAGACAATCAGTCCCAGCATCCCCCATCCACAACCCCAATGGGAGACATGGTCCAAACAGATCACAACTTTATTCCTTCAAATAGGGGTTCCAAGCAGGGACCTGTTTTCCCAGTTGTTGCCTTTTCCCCTCCTTGCTCACCTTGAGCTATAATATGTTGCATGTGCTTAAATGTCTTCTTTGCAAATACACATGATATGGAGAGATATTGTTGTTCATCAACACACATCAATATCCAGCAAATATTAAGGGTACTGAACTGTGTCATTTTTGGGTGGAGTATTAAATGCAATATAGGGGTTTTAAAATATTGTTTTGTGTTGGAATATCAAGCGGTTATGTAGTATTTGTAATATGAGCAAAATGATGCCAGAACTGAGTTTTTGTTTTTGTTTTTTCCATGTCAGGAGCGACTTGAGAAACTGCAAGTTGCTTCTGGTGTGAGAGAATTAACCGTTTGCAAGGATCTTGCCCAGGGGACACCCGGATGTTTGATGTTTTATCATCCTTGTGGGAGGCTTCTCTCATGTCTCCACATGGGGAGCTGGAATTGACAGAGGGGGCTCATCCATGCTCTCCCCAGATTCAAACCTCTGACCTGTTGGTCTTCAGTCCTGCCGGCACAAGGGCTTAACCCATTGCATAACCAGGAGCTCCTAGATCTGAGATGATGGGCTCCTTCAAAGGGAGCAACAGGAGCTGCTAGAGGTTGCAGTATTTGTTGCTATAGCTGGGAGCAGGGAGAAGATATACTAAAATATCTAAAAATTTCTTGCTCAAGACTATTTTTTGGCAATTCCCAGCACCAGCTGCAACATTTTATCTCCTTCAGTGGGTTCTCTTTGATTTGAAACACATCCAGACAAAATATACTTCTCTCCTTCTCTTCTTCCTCCTCTCTCTCAAATGCATAAACAAAATGACTATTTTGTACTATAATACTAGAAAGCTAACAAAAAAAATTCACAGGAGAAAATTCTCTCTTAAAACAACAAGACCATCTCACCAAATCCATCCATCCAATTCTGACACATTGCATGGGAACAATTGTTACCAACAGGTTCTCCAAAGAATTGGATGGATGGATGAGGAGACAACAACAACCACAAAAACCAAAGTAGCTGTATCATGAGAACTCACACTTCTTTAGACCAGTGTGGATAAGCCCATTGTTCTATCCCTTCTACATTTTCTTTATGCTTCTTCCATTTCATTTACTACAAAACTCAGATAGAACAGGAAAACCACAATGTAGGTGCATAATGCCCTTGGTTGGGGAATGCTAAGATGTCCATTTGGAAGTCCCTTGCACTTCTTTCCACTTTACTGGCCAAATGTGTTGGAGGTTGTAGATATAAATAAATAGAAGCTTTACCACTGTTTCTGAACCAAAATATACCCTGCAGTATACTAATGTGTCACTCAGATTTGTGTAAAGAGTAACAGTTCCAAAGGTCAAGCAGAGCAACAATACATACAGCAGTCTCTCTGAATTCTTACAGAGAACAGAGGGAATAATCAGTCCTTTTAAACAGTCTTTAAAATATGCTTCATGCCTTAGAAATGATCAGGTTTCAGAGAGTTGGCAGCCATTTCCTTCCTAGCTGTTTCCAGTCAGCGCTCTCTTCACTCTCCGAGGTGAAAGTAGCAGTTAAAACCGTTTGTCTCAGCAGCAAGCTAGAGACAGTAGCCTTCTTTTTCTTCTTGGTTTCTTAAATCCAGGTACAGGTGTAGCTACTCATCTGGGTCCCTTTCATAAGAGTCCTAAATTCTAGTTTTATTCTCAATGCTGTATTCTATGGAATCCTAGGATTTCTAGTTTGTAGATTAAGAAGGGTCTGGAGTCCTCTGGCTGAGAATTCTAAATATCGCTTTCTACACTGACTATTCCAGGATCCCATAGGTGCTTGTTATGCCAATTAAAATGGACTATAGTGCTACAATTGCGTGGCTTGAAAGAGCTACTACTATCTCCACATCTCTTTCTCTATGGAATCCAACTGCTCTCCTGTTAATAGTGCTAATTACAATTGCACTCTCTTTTTGCTCTTCAGATACCAATGACTTAAAGCTGTTCTCTCAGCTGTGATTAATATTCAAATGGGTCTCTCTTTTCTTTCTTCTGGTGGCATCCATTAGAAAGATTCTTCATTTTTTCCTTTCTCCCCCCCCCCAAGCTACAAAAGTTCAGATGTGAGGTAACCAAAAGCTGGCAAACAACACCAATGTTCAGGTGAAAATAATAATAATAATAATAATAATAATAATAATAATAATAATTTATTTTTAACCTCTCCTCGAAGGAACTCAGGGCGGCTTCCAACCATCTATCTATACATGTATGTATGTATGTGGCTGGGGTTCCCACTTTCACAGACAAGCTCCCATTTCCACAAACAGCTATGATCCCCACCTATGAGGAGCCACTGAAGGCACTCCCTCCAATGATTTTGCAGGTTATAGTGAGCATCTTGAATAGAGACAATTCCTGCCAATGTCCTCCACAAACACAATACTGCCCACCACCCAAGTGAAGACTTTCATACGGGGACAATTTCATCCTAGATTTGATGTGTTTCCTCCACCACAAACATCTTAGTCTTTCTGACTCTATCCTGCCCACTATTATTATTATTATTATTAAACTTTATTTGCACCCCGCTAGCATCTCCCGAAGGATTCGATGCGGCTTACACAGGCCGAGGCCTCAACACACAACATAACAATACAATCTAAGCAAATCAAACAATTAAAAACAGAATAAAGCAAAGTAAACAACAGGCACAATACACTAAAACACAATAAAGCTGGGCCAGGCCAGAAGGTGGGTACAAAGATTAAAAGTGCTGATGTGACAGGAGGCGTATAAAGGGCTTCTAAGGCAAGTGCGATGTATGATGTGCAGCAATCATTGGTTCTGATAAAGTGCTTATGGGGCTTGGTAGTGGGGATTTCCTAATCTGGGAAGGCGCATTGGAAAAGCCAGGTCTTCAAGTTCTTTCTGAAGATAGCCAATGTAGGGGCCTGTCTAAGTTCTTTGGGGAGGGTGTTCCAGAGTCGGGGGGCCACCACGGAAAAGGCCCTGTCCCGCGTCCCCACCAAGCGTGCTTGCGACGCCGGTGGGATCACGAGCAGGGCCTCTCCAGATGACGAAGTGAACGCGTGGGTTCGTAGACGGAGATGTGGTCATGCAGGTAGGCTGGTCCCAAAGTGTTCAGGGCTTTGTAGGTAAGCACCTGCACCTTAAATTGGGCTCAGAAGATAAACGGCAGCCAGTGGAGCTCCTTGAACAGGAGGGTTGACCTCTCTCTGTAAGGAGCCCCAGTTAACATCCTGGCTGCTGATCGTTGGACCAGTTGGAGCTTCCAAGCCATCTTCAAGGGCAGCCCCACATAGAGCACATTGCAGTAATCCAATCTGGAGGTGACCAAGGCATGGACCACACCGGCCAGATCCGCCTTCGCGAGGTACGGTCGCAGTTAGCGCACAAGTCTCAGTTGTGTGAAAGCCCTCCCAGACACCGCCTATGCCTGAGCCTCAAGCGTGAGTGTTGAATCCAAGAGGACTCCCAAACTGCGGACCTGTGACTTCAGGGGGAGTGTAACCCCGTCCAGCACAGGTTGTCACCCTATACCCCGGTCAGGTTTGCGATCGACCAGAAGGACCTCTGTCTTGTCGGGATTGATCTTCAGTTTGTTCCTCCTCATCCAGATAGACACAGCGGCCAGGCACTCGTCCAGCACCCGAGAGGCCTCCTTGGAGTTAGGTGGAAAGGAGTAGTAGAGCTGTTTGTCATCCGCATAGAGATGGCACCTAGCTCCAAAACTCCGGATGACCTCTCCCAGCGGTTTCATGTAGATGTTAAAAAGCATGGGTGACAGAATAGAGCCTTGCGGGACCCCACAGGTCAACGGCCAGGGGTCTGAGCAGGCGTCTCCCAGCTTCACCATCTGGGATCGACCCTCCAGGAAGGATCGGAGCCACGACATAACCGTGCCCCCGAGACCCATCCCAGAGAGTCGTCCCAGAAGGATACCATGATTGATGGTATCGAAAGCCGCTGAGATGTCCAAGAGAACCAACAGAGTCACACTCCCCCTGTCCAGCTCTCTACGGAGGTCATCCACCAAGGCGACCAAGGCTGTCTCGGTACCATGACCAGGCCTGAAACCAGACTGTGACTGATCTAGGTAGTTGATGTCATCTAAAAAGCCCTGGAGCTGGGAGGCAACCACCCGCTCCAGCACCTTACCCAAAAAAGGAAGGTTGGAGATCGGTCTGAAATTGTTCAGCACCGTGGAGTCAAGGGAAACCTTTTTAAGGAGTGGACGAACCACAGCTTGTTTCAGGAGAGATGGAAAAGACCCCTGCTCCAATGATGCATTAATGATCAACCCAAACCAATCAACCAAACCCTCCCTGGCCGATTTAATTAGCCAAGACGGGCAAGGGTCCAGAGCCAAAGTGGTTGCCCTCACAGCCCCAAGGACCTCCTCCACAGTCTCAGGAGGAACAAGCCTAAAAGAATCCCACAAAGTTGGACAAGCAGATGCCTCAATCACCTCCTCTGGCACTGTGGTGAAATTGGAGTCGAGCTCAAGGCGTATCTGAGCGACTTTGTCTGCAAAGTGGTGTGCGAAAACGCGACACCGAGTTTCCGGGTCGTCAAAAACCTCCTCCACCACAGGTGGCTGAAGGAGCTCCCCAACGACCCAACGACTAACCTTTCCCATTCTTTTCTATGGCACACAATAAACAGAGCAGAATTGATCAGCAACTGAACATACTGGATGTTGCACCTCAGCAGGAGTTCACCTTGCTCAAAGCATTCACCAGGAATGTTTTGTGGGGAATTGCCCTTAACATTTGGATGTTGTTGTTACTGGGATTTAAAGTTCACCTGCAATCAAAGAGCACTTTGAATCCCACCAAAGATGGACCTGGACCTAACTTGGCACACAGAACCCCCATGACCAACAAAAAAGAATGGAGGATGGTGGGGGGAATTCACCTTGATTTGGGGAGTTGTAGTTTTCCTACATCCAGAGAGCACCATGATCCCAAACGACAATGCCTGATACACCCAAATTTGAATACTGGAAGGGTTTGGGAGGGATTAACCATGATTTTTGGAGCTTTTTGGGAGGGATTTACCATGATTTTTAGTTCACCTACAACCAGAAACACTGTGACCACCACTGATGATGGAGCTAGACCAAATTTGGCACACTGAACCCCCACGATAAACTGAACCTACTGGAGGGATTTGAGTGGACTGACCCACCATGGTGGGAGCTGTAGTTTATCCTGCAGCCAGAGATCAATGATGCATCTAGCGCAATCTTGCCCAACACAGCAAGCTTTAACTACTGATGGACTTTCAGGGGATTAACCTGGCATAATGTGAGTTGTAGTTCACCCATGACCTTATGCATTTTGTAAAATAAAAAAAATCACTTTTTCAAATAACACAGGCAACACCAGGTACCCAAGCTAGTAAAACATAAAACTGGCAAACATTCAAGTGAAGGCTACACTTCTAAAAATGAAAATTAGTGAAGAATTACACCCCTATATGTCATTAGCTATTCTACAGATTAAAACAAACTGTTGTAAGGTCAGGCAACAAATTGGAGTAAAATATGCACTGGATCACGGCTCCCTCTCCACATTTCATTCCACACTGAACTGATCATTTTTCCATAGTACAAAGCAGAGCAACACAGGTATAGCAAGTATTGATTGGGAAGCCAAGTAGCAAACAAAGCAAGCAGAAGGTCTGGCTGCTTTGTTGTTAGCAGAAGGCAGTCAGGGAGTGAGCAGTATGGACGTTGCTCTTTATGCACATACTTGGTGGTGGATCAGGGAAATGAGATGGCATTTGCAAGAATCAATATCAAAATAATGATGATTCCAGATTGGAGACTAGCAAGATGATCTTTGATCATTTCCCTGACATGTTTCCAGAAAGTTTTGGACTCTCATCACAACAGCTCTTGTCTTACACCTGTCATCTGCTACATGAATTAAGCCTTGAGAGTTAACAGAATATGAGAAATCATGGCATAGTTGCATTTGGTGTCCTGCTCTCACCTGTATCTTCCAGCTCTGTGATCCAGCTTCTTTTTAATGTAGCAGAAAATGATGAAGACATTGATACTATTAATCTATAGATCAATCTATCAAAATATTTACATCATACCCTATTATACCAAGAATCTCAAGGCACTATGCAATAAAGTGTGTTCAGTATAGTAGATACAGTGGTTAAACGGCTGAGCTGCTAAACTTGCTGACTAAAAAGTTTGCGGTTTGAATCTGGGAAGCAGGGTGAGCTCCTGCCGTTAGCCCCAGCTTCTGCCAACGTAGCAGTTCGAAAACATGCAAATGTGAGTAGATCAATAGGTACCTCTCTGGCAGGAAGGTAATGACACCCCATGCAGTCATGCTGGCCACATGACCTTGGAAGCATCTACGGACAATGCTGGCTTAGAAATAGAGATGAGCACCACCCCCTAGAGTCGGACACGACTAGACTAAATGTCCAGGGGAGACCTAAACCTTTACCTTTATAGACTAAAAGAGGAGCAAAATTCTTACTGAGGAGTAATCCCATTTTGCTATGCATTTTGCCCCAATAGCTACAATCCTATTGTCAATTGGGTCTCTGGAGGGAGGGTATTCCATTACTAATGTGCTGCATTTTTTAAAAAACTATTCATTATATTATATTAGTTAATTCCAGACTAAGTGATTCTTCCAAATGTTGTTTAAAACATCATTTCCGAAATGGATGTTCAGATTTTATGCTTATCTCAAGCCACATGTTACCACCACATTTGAACCTAACCTGTTTTACTACTATGTATCTCACACCCGGTTACAAATAAACATGGGATTTTGTCCTCTGTGTGCCTGTCTATCTTTATGTGTAAATGATTAATGGTCTTTTAAATCAGATGGAATATATTTCTGTAGTCTGATAGGAATCACACATTAAATTATTATGATGCACTTGTATTTCAGGAGCTGAGAGCCCTTTCCTTATTGATTGAATTCATTCAATACGTTTTTATTGCATTTAAACACTCCAGCATATTTTCTGGCTCCAGTTACAACTTGATTGCATTGGCATATTTGGAATGTCCCCTTTTATATCATCACATCTGTTTAATCAAGGTAATATTCCATCTGCTACTGTGTTGCCATAATGCAATGTGAACGAACTCAAGTTCTTCATACTGAACAGCCCATATATTTCCTTCCTAGAGCGCCTGCTCTACACTTGAACGTTAAGCACTATATGAAGGCGTTCGCTTCTCCAACACACTGTTTCTCCATTTTCCTATTGAAGATTCTGGATTTATTTTTGGAGTTATCTTATAAATACTGTTTTCTGCAAGCAGATGTATAGAATTGACTACCAATGGGATTCTGGTGGCTCTAAAATATGAAACTGTTCATTCTTGCTAAAGCTCAGTATCGAAGAACTTCATGTTTTTTTATCCACATTTGCCATTACTAGACATCTTCAGAAGAAATGGAATACTTGTCATGTGTATCTGAAGTATCTGAAAGGATTTTGAATGAGAGCTTCTTTTACAGGGGACTTCGAGCCAATACCTCCTTCTCTTTGGACACAGCCTCTTCGCACAATAACTCCTTCTCTTTGGACACAGCCTCTTCGCAGAATACCTCCTTCTCTTTGGATACAGCCTCTTTGCAAAGCATCAATGAATGGATTGCCTATCCTCCATATTTTAAGATAAACATGTTTTTGATCCCACCAGTTATATGCCTAATAGCAGCCATCCTGGTCATTCCTTTCATCTTGTTTGTCATTTTCTCCCAAGACAACATCCGTCAGGAAACAAGGTACTTGCTGCTGGGAAATGCTTTACTTTGTGATTTGCTATATCTGATACTCTACACCATGTCTGAGGTTTTCAGTGTGTCTTACCTCGAGCTTCCCGAAATTGCTTGCGTGGCCCTGCTGTTTTTATTGGCAATGACTTACTGTGGTGGGCTGCTAACAGGGGTAGCCATGGTCCTGGACACCTACCTGGCCATTCTTTGGCCTTTACATTATCTCTCCATTTTGCCCTCTGCGCGCACCAAGAAAGTGATACTATTCCTATGGATCTCCTCTGGGATTTTCCCTGGGATTGTCTTCTTAATACTTGGGAGTACTGAGAAACCCAGTGTGTGTCCCGTGGAAGACTGTTCTGTTCCGATAATCCTGGCAATGACTTTACAAGGAAACAATGCAGTGAAATGTTGCTATGTGCTCTCGGTCTCTGCCCTTTTTCTCTGCCTGTCCCTCATTCTCTGCTGTTATATGATCCTGTATTGCAAAACAAAAGAGTCAGGGATATGGAAGAGCATTTTCTCTAGAGCCAGAGTGACATTCCTGATGCACCAAATTATCTTGTTCTTCCATTTCTCTCCTGTCTTGGCCACTGTGGTGGAGTCACTACTGTATGTCAATGCTATAATAGGGCCACGGACAGGGATGTGGCTCTCTCTGGTTGTCTGCAATGTGTTGATCATAATACCCAAAGCTTTGTCGCCTTATCTGTATGGGCTCAGATACAGGGAGATCTCCTCCTCCCTCAAGTTCTTGCTTAGACGGAAACGTTCTACTGTTGTGGCTCCTACGTCACTTGCTTGAACAAAAACTGGACTAACTGCAGCAAGGACCTGTACTTGCATGACTCCATCTAATGAACTGAAAACATATTTTCAATTGTTGAAGCAATTGGTTGAGCACAGAATTTGTAAAACAAAAATTGATACAAAAACATCAACCATCTGTTTGATCAGACCCAATTACACTAGTTCCCTTCAATTAATTGTTGACTAATGCGTCAAAATGTAGGTAAACCCCACTGGTTCCTCACGTCTGCTATACTAAGAACTAACAAGATTTAGGTCAGTGTATGTTGGGAATAGTAGAGCAACATGGTTGTGTTGATATTTTAGCCCAGTGTTTCTCAACCTTTCTAATGTTGTGATCCCTTAATACGGTTCCTCATGTTGTGGTGACCCTCAACCATGAAATTATTTTTGTTGCTACTTCATAACTTTAATTTTGCTACTGTTAGGAATTGTCATGTAAATATTTAATATGCAGGATGTATTCACTGGAGCAAATTTGGCACAAATACTCAATACGCCCAAATTTGAATACTGATGGGGTTGGGGGGGGATTGATTTTGACATTTGGGAATTGTAGTTGCTGGGATTTATAGTTCATCTACAACCAAAGAGCATTCTGAACTCCACCAACGATGAAATTGAACCAACCTTGGCACACAAAACTCCCACGACCAACGGAAAATACTGAAAGGGGTTGGTGGGCATTGTCCTTGAGTTTTGAAGTTGTAGTTCACCTACATCTAGAGAGCACTGTGGACTCAAATAATGATGGATTTGGACCAAACTTGGCATGAATACTTAATATATCCAAATGTGAACACTGGTGGAGTTTGGGGAAAATAGATCTTGACATTTGGGAGTTGTAGTTGCTGGAATTTATACTTCACCTACAATCAAAGAGCATTTTGAAGCCCACCAATGACAGAATTGAGCCAAATTTCCCACAGATAACCCCCATGACCAACAGAAAATACTGTATTTTCTGTTGGTCTTTGGCGACCCCTCTGACACTCCCTCACGACCCCCCCAGGGGTCCCAACCCCCGGGTTGAGAAACACTGTTTTAGCATGATAATATTTTATGTGCAGATTGCAATATATTCTAAGCATTATATGTTTAACAATAAATTAGAAGAAGAGTTTAACAAAGGGAGGGAGAGTGGAAGGGCAGATACTTCTACAAAAAAAATATTTATTTATTTACCATATTTATATACTGCCTTTCTCAGCCTGAAGGCAACTCAAGGCGGTTTACACTTGGCAAAATTCAATAATTTCAAATCCCACAATCAAAATGGAAAAAGATTAGAGAACTTGCCATAAATATTCAGACTTGAGCGTCAAAAGTGTACCCAGTTTTCAAGTGTGAACAGCATCAGACACTTCCTAGGATCATAAGGGTGATTAGCTACATCCCAGTAGCCCCTGGTGGCACAATGGGTTAAACTCTTGTGCCAGCAGGACTGCTGACTGAAAGGTCAGCCATTCGAATCCAGGGAGCGGTGTGAGCTCTCGTCTGTCAGCTCCAGCTTTTCATGCAGGAACATAAGAGAAGTCTCCCGCAGGATGGTAAAACATCTGGGCATCCCTTCGGCAGTGCCCTTGTGGATCAGTTCTCTCACACCAGAAGTGACTTGCAGTTTCTCAAGTTACTCCTGAAACAGGGCGGGGGGGAAAGCTACATCCCAACTTGGATGTCTACACCACAAGTGTCTCCCATCTTGTAAAAGGATATTAACTCCATAGAATGTGATAATACCGTATTCTACTCTATGTATTCTTTTCTTCAATTGCTTGTTATTTATCAACCTTTTTGTCTGTTTCTGACCATGAAAAGAGTGTAAATATAGAATCTATGGCTCTATAAATAAATACAAGTTAATGAGTTACCAAGGGCAACAGGAGTTACAACAGGGAACCAATATATGATTTCCCACATTTTATCTTTAGCACATTTTTCTAGCAGTTTCATTAAATGAATACATAAAATATTCTGATGGTAACAGAGGGGAAATTACTTTTTTGGCATTATCATTCTGGACCAAGGGCATGATTTGCCAGAGTTGCTCTTTAAACTTTAGCTAAGGGAATGCAAAATGTGACTAAGTGAAAAGAGAATTTCATTATGTGTTGCTGCACATTTATCTTGCAGACTGGAAAATCAGGACCTAAGTTTGCTTAGTGAAACAACCATTCCTGATGCGTTCCTTGGACTGGTCTGGTAGCTCCAGGCAACCATCAGAAACGGAGCTCTGAACCACTTTCAGTAAAAATTACTCACAGCAGATGTTTTCTGCTACCACCTTTTTTCATCTATGTAGGCAATACTGGTTTAAATAGTGTTAAATCTTAATCATGTTTAGAGTAGGTTTAGGAGGAAATTAGTCCCATTTGATTGAAGGAGAATAAGCATGGCTCAGTCTGGATACAATTGTAGATAGTATATATATGGAAAAACATAGATCTTTCTATTCAGTCTTTTTCAAGAATCTGCCCTATGTATTCCACACTATTGTTATTATGTATTAATTCAGTTTTCTGTTTCTATATTCAGCTTTACAAGGAAGCATCAGTACAAATAACATGTGAAGTTGCTATTGTTTTAAAGAGTAACTTAGTCTTTAAAAACCCCATGATAGGGTCACTTTAGAGCAGGCCTGGGCAAACTTAGGCCCTCCAGGTGTTTTGGACTTCAACTCCCACAATTCCTAACAGCCTCAGGTCCTTTCCTTTTACCCCTCAGCCACTTAAGTGATTTTCCCAGAACTGCTAATTGTATACACAGAAAAACTATTCCTGGATATTTTGGCTGACTTACAGTCGTTGTATCTCTTATCTAATATTTTGGATCATAAATCTCATTGTGCTGAAGTAATAATGTGGTGTTTGTTTCTGTGCTAGTATGAAAGAGAACTGAGTATATTCCTTTTGTATGTCTTGCTAAGGATTTTTCACTTCTAGTTCAATCACCGTCTATTTCTCCTATATGTCAGTAGTTGTTCACCTGGCACAGATAACAATGTCCAGAGTCCCTGCAACATACTGATAGGATTTACAAAAATCCAAGAAACGGGGAAAGGAAATATAATAGGACTTCAAGAAACATAATGTAAATCAGGGAATGGAAATGTATGACCATGAACATTTTGTTAATCTGCAACTCCAAATAGCACCAGTCAACACAAGCAATAGTGGTGGATGATGGAAGTTGCAGTTCATAACTTCTAGGCACCACACAGTACCAGTCCCTGATGCAGGCTGTGTTTGCAGTATTCTGGCTAAGAATCAGATTCTAGATTAGGCTTCCTTGTTTTTTTCTTCATCTCTTTCAGTCTATGATGTCTATACTACCTTGTTGATCTGGCAATAAGGTTCTGAGAAACTAAAATTACCGCTAACCTTTCCACCAAGAAGGTGGGAGAGTAAGAACATTAAGAGCACTGGATTTCAGCAGCCTCCTTATCCCTAAATTAGGCAGATATGGAAGTTTCAGGAGGGAAAAAATTGGATGGGAGCACACACATCCTGGCATAAATGAAGCAAAAGAAGTATAGTGATCTGACGAAAATAGCACTGGAAGTGCCTATGCATGGCAAAATACTAACATTATGGCTGTTCCTCTTTTATCTATATGTGAGTGTGTATATGGAGACTCCATCAATTTCATAGGGTTTTCTTTGGCAAATAATTCTCAGATATGTTTTTGCCAGCGCCTTCCTCTGAAATATAGTATACAGCACATTATATTCCTTGCTGGTCCCACTTTGAAGAACTAACCATACCTGACTCTGCTTAACTTCCAAGAGCAGACAGAATCTGGTGCTTTTAGGGTATTTGCACAGCATAAGAAATGTATATCCTCACTTTAAATTGTTTTCCTTATTCTCATTAATCATCACCATCCTGTGAAGTAAGATTGCTTTGAGGTAATTCAACCCAAGGATACATGACAAATTCCATGACCAAAAAAAGAATTGAATTTTGGTTTTCCCATTCCAAGTCCAGCACTTTAAACATTACAATGGTTTTTTCAATATGTTTAACTGGGGGAAATATTGTATAAAGGTTGAACCATTGGGGCGGGGGGGAGTGTCAATAAACTTGCTGAACTTGCACAATAAGAAGGAAAATTGCATAATTGTTATTTATTTCGTGTCAAGAGTATTGCATAAATACACAAGTATAAAACTGATAAAATAGAGGGAACACAAGCAGCTAAATAATTTTAGATCAAAAACGAGCAACAGCAACAGCATTGTCTCTAGCTTTAAACAATTCTTCATTTGTGCATGAGGCAGGGCATTGTGGGCAAGCATGCAGATGCTGAGTTGTTTGTTATGCTCCACAGTCGCACAAGGTGGACAATTCTTCTAGGTCAGTGGTTCCCAACCTTTTTTTGATCAAGGACCACTTTGACCAGAGACCACTTGACCAAGGGCCACTTTGACCACTCTTCAACATTAGTACCAAAAGGATTATGAATCAGTTTTTGGTTAATTTTTGTTTCGATTTGGTTATTTTGGGGGCTGATTCAGAAAATTGTATTAGATAGACCATAAGCTCCAGTTTCTGATACAGAACATATGCCATCCAGTAGTTGCCATCTGCTCACACACAGAAAACCATATTTAATAATCTAGAACTGATGTGGTCTATCCAATGCAATTTTCTGGATCAGCACCACAAATAACCCCAGGAACAGGCCTAAAAATGAAGACACCAAGGTGCCCCCGCTTCCAGGCACCACATGGAATGGCTCCTCTTGGTGGCAGGAGAAGAAGAAGCAGTCAAGAGGCTTGTTGTCGCGCCTTTCGTGGGTAGCCATATTTTGCCCACCATCACAGCTGTAGAAGAGAAATAAAGCCACAACATGTGCGTGTTCTTACTACATCACTGTTCAAAATGCTCTTTTAACCCATCAGTCAATGGCTCGAATCAATAACACAGCTATGAAGCGAAAGAAAGCAAACATGCAACAGTACATCCTTTAATCCTTTGTAAGAGTTCTTTGTTT